AATATTAAACTTTATTATTGTTATTGTTTGAAATTTGTGTTCTTTTGTGGCATTATTCTAGTAAGTGGCATTTTTCTATTCCTCTGCTTTAGCAACGCTAATTTGAAAATTATAAATTTAAATTTTCAATTTCTTTTCTTAATATCAGTCTTTCAAAATTACTATCTAGATTCTAGAAGTTCTAGAATAGAGTCTTGATAATATAACTGACAAATTCAAAAAAATCTAATTGCACAAATTTAATTATTGTACAAAACACGGGAAAATAAACGGATTCGGTTATCAGTATAGTTTGCATGTTTCTTGTACATACCTTCAATTTGTATTCGGATGCTCCTCGATTAAAATAATCTAATTTATCAATATTTAGATTGGAATCCCAAAATGCAAATTGTCCAGGTTTCGCAGTTGATGCAAGTTCAGCAAGGTTGCGATATTGGACACATTCTAGGGTTTTGTCTTCAACAAAAATACATTGAATCTGTGAAAAATATTTATTAATAGGCACATCGAGTTGCAGCAAATTTGGATAAAATCTTTGTTTTAAATTTGTCGTATTAAAATGAATGAAAATTTTCCTGCCATTAATTTCATAGAATTTCAATCGATCACGTCCATCTAAACTCACAATCATATAAACAATCAATTCTAACTACTTCAGAAAATAAGCAACAATTTTCTTTACAAAAATAAATGATCATGATGTATGTAGGGTGTACATTAGTTGAAAAACGTCTCTATTTCGTTGAATACTATAATTCAGTGGTTCCCAACCTTTTTTATGTCGCGGCACACTATTGAGCTATTTAAATATTTGCGGCACACCTATCACAAAACAAGAACATTTTCTACTCTTGAAACCATTTACCTATAAAACAATACAAAACATAGAAAATCAAATAATGGAGAAATCTATTCTTGGTAATATCACTTATCTTGTATTTAAAATGGATTGTTTTTTAGTTACCGATATTATAACTGTTTTCTTACAATAATGTACATGAGACCCACTTTCGGAGCACCTCACATTATTGTAAAAGATGCGCGACCGCACGAGTAATACGTGACGCGAATACGCTTTAGTTTTTCTCGCCCTTCCCCTGGGTGTAGCCTTATTATCGCAGGTATTCTCACTTATGTACGACCTAATTCATTTTTGTTACAATTTAATGTTTCTCCCATTGCCAAAATCATTCAACGGTGTAATTGTCGGTACTAGCGAATAAAATGAAAGCGGCGAACAAACCGTATTCCATTACAACAATTAATTATTAAAAAACACTAAATAGGTTTAAAGTTGTTATAAGCAATTTTCAACGATGAACGAATCTTTTCACGTTATGAATTTTGTGCTAGGCCCGAGCATAATTTGATGGCAAAGATCGTAGCATTTACTATGTCGAAACGCTTATTCGACTTTTCAGACGCAGCAACTATCCGAAAAATACCCGTTCTGTGTTCGAGATATGAAATAATCGTCAATTCCACCACGCTTTAGTAAAATAGTGCGATTTACTAAATTTAATGGAGGTTTTATCACTTATCGATCTCGATAAGTATGTTGATAGGTATTTGTCTGTCTGTTTGTTTGTCTGTTAGATGCAAGCGATATCTCACGAAAGCGAAGTTGGATCTACTCCAAATTTTGCATGTGCATTCATCATATCTCGGACCAGAAGCCTATTGATTTTGGAAGAATTATGTCGTATAATTAGCGAGTAATTTATTAATTAGTGATGGGTCACACGATGTCGCTAAGGAGTAAGAGTGGATGATTCGAAACTGCAGTTTTTGTTTTGGGGAATTTTCGAACCCTAACTTTCGATCGATAAGCTTTCGGTTTCCGACCGATATTCTCGTTATTAAGTTTCATTGCATCAGTGTTTGTGCTACCACGCGTTTCGCTGATTACTGGCATGATTACAGATGGGGATGGGAGGGAGGATATGCAAAATAAACTATTTTATCGAATCTAATAGTTCAAATATTTTTAACGAATTGTCAAATATCGGATATTTTTAAAATAGGCATCTAGGCATTCTAATGTTGGTAATCTATTTCCGCCCGTCTCTTCTTTTTTTTTACAAGGACTAATTCTTACGCAACGTTTGGTTTTATATTCCTGGGAGAACTATGCGTTCATATGGGCGACATATGTTAAAGACGGCTATTAAAGTGAATTCGGGATTTTATTCTGAATTTTATCTTTCACGCCGGTTTTGATATTTCTCCCCACCGATTGTAAATTAACTGTCCCAATTTTAAGCTGACAATATTATCATTTCTGACGTCGGAATGCGATATTTATAAAGCGATAGTTGACTTTCTTATGATTTTACTTTCCTATTGTGTCTGTTTTTATTTTCGTATAAAATGGTGATTAAAAACCCTGCAAAGTCATTGCGTGAATCCTGAATGTTATTTTGGGTTTAAATAATAATTCAATAAATTGGCAATAATGGCAATTCTACTAGCCAAATAATAATTCCTTGGTCAAATTTGGGGAAAATTTCGCACAATAATTTGTTACCTTGGTTGACATTTTCAATTTTACGAAACGGTGTTGGCGCGCATTATGCAAAACTTAGAATTGAAACAATACCCAAATACCTGAAATACAACTCCTCAAATTTGTCGTTTCTGTTTGTTAGCAAGAGCCGTGGGGTAATTCTTGTGGAATTCAAGGGAGTTGAAATTGGAATCACATGAAATTAATTCAAAAATGATATTTCTTCGCGGCACACCAAAATCTATTCGCGGCACACTAATGTGCCGCCACCTGCTATAATCAAATATCTAGATAATTTTGACGAACACAATTATAAACACTTTGAATAGTTTAAACTTTAAAGCTATCAAACAGAATAATTGACGTCATATATATTAAAATAACAGAATAGTCATGCTAACCTTGATCACATCCACCGATTTCGAGGAGTCGTGCATTAGTTGCAATGCATTTGAATTCAGGATGATTCTTTTGACGCTGAAATGTTCTAGAGGCAGACATTTATTGGAAACGTGTGCCAGGGCGTAAACTTCACCCGGCTTCAATAATTCGTAACCAGAGTTATCCTGTGAAATCTCGAATCGTTTGACCAAATCTTTTACTTTAGATATTGCATTCGGACCACATTCAAGTAGGAGAGAAACGAGTTCAATGTCTAAGACTGTCCCACTGCTGAGAAACGACTCGAGTTGAGACTCAAGAAGTTGTACGCAATGTGGAAGACTCATATTCCGGTCTGAAAAGTAACTTTATATTTTAATTCAAATAATTATTTATGTAGATTATGTGAAATATCATTATTTACTGAGTCGGGTTTTTGGCGTGATGTTTCCAACGCAATGGCCTTAGCTATGATACAAAGGCGACTCGAAGATGTCAGGTCCACATTGACCGTTCAAACGAGCGAGTTATATAAAAACTCTCAAGTCTTTGATTGAACTTGAATTAAATTTAAAACGTCATGAAGCACTCAATAAACATTTGCATTAACGACTATTTTTGTTAATATTTTATACGATCGAGAATAAAAAATTCACCCGCCTTTTTCTGCAAGCCTATTCAAAGCCATGAGCAATATATTGGCCGTTCAAACATACCAAAACACTTAAGTCTTTGATTGAAATAAAGCAGATTCAAATTTTGTCAAGAGAAATCTTATAAACATCCAATGGCATTGTAAAGTTTAATGTTAATAGTTTATATGATCAATCCTATAATATTGACTCACCTCTCACATACTTTTCTGCGAGTTTGCTTGTCATAGGATTCAAGACGATTCCATAGAAAAATTTACGAACTGCGCGCCACTGAGGTTTGTTGAGTTCGACCGAGACAAATTCACCAAATTGCTCTACTTGGAAATTGAATAGCCCCCAGAGCGGCCAGCAATTCCTACAAAAACAAAAGAAATCTTTAAAACTATCTTACTGTTAGGTATTTAATTGTGAAATTAGAAATTTATTTTTATTCCGATACACTGTGACCAAGACCACTAGTGACTGTGAACAACCGAATTACCACAATCAGCAGAACACATAATTTGACAATATTTTCGCGCATAATTGTTTAATTTCGAATACGATAAAAAAAACTGCATAAATGCGGCTTTAGAAAATTGAAAAAGTGGAATAATTTGTTACAAGCGAGTAGATAATTCATATCAGGCACGTGTAATCATCTTTAGATACGGTTTATGCAACGCAGATTTTTCAACTCTAAAGTGAAGCGTATGACATTCGAATTTTCTATGTTTGCGGAAAGTGTGATTAATCAATAGGCTTTTTCTTTGCCAGATGATCTAAGATAGATGTCTTTTTTTAATGAATAAACACCAGACATTTTTAAATTTTTTCAACGTTTTTAGTCAGAGTTTTACTTCTTTCTAAAATATAGCGTCAAAAAAATAAAAACGAATCGAATGGTATGTGACCGGGTTATTACAGGATTTCGTGAAATATCGTTTAAAAAAAAAACTAAGATTCATGTTTGGTAAGACGTGAACCTACCTGCATAGTTTGATGTAAAAATTCAAAACTGAGATCCATTTTCCCGATGCGCAATTGATGGGGTTCCGGCTCCGCTTTTGTTGTTATAATACCTTGTAGATCCGATACTTGTAAACCAATTTTTTCAGCATGACTCGCAGAAAACAAGAAAGTATTATTTTCAATGCCAGAAAATGCAAGCTTCGTTAATTTTTGAATGTCTGCATTGAGGTGTTCAGAACCGGAGAAAAAATTTAGAACAGAAACTATGATCTCAGACTCTGTTTCTGGTATTTTTGTCCCAGTTTGTTTGAGAACTTCGGCCATGTAGACAAGAAACATTGGATTCTTACACAAAGAAACGATATTTGGGCTTTGGGTAATCTCATTTTGTAATGCTTCTTCTCTGGCGTCAGATACAACTAAATTCGATAAAATGTTCGGAATTTCATCGTCGTTGAAACCTTCCAGAACTACGATCTTTGAAGGTTTTTGTTTTGAATCCAACTTCCAGAATGTGCTCCAACGGGAAGTGGATAAGATTTTCATGCCTGGATACAAGGAACCGGATATAATGTTCGCCAAAATTGTGTTTGTTTCCCAATCCTTACTTAGATTATGAATTTTTGGATATGTTCCTCCAAATGGTTGGCCTGCTCGATCAAGACCGTCTAGAATTAACAATATTTTGTCCGCATTTTTTTGCACCCATCGTTCACCCGCTTTCTTCAGTTCAGGTGGTAGGTCGATTAGTGGCGTAATTAAGATATCATATGCGGTCGATTTTGTTTCGTGTTGAAGATCGGAAATAGAGATATAAAAGATCATTAAGTTATTTTTTAAAACTTTACATCCCTTTTTATAAACCAGTTCTGCGTATTTCTTGGCTGAAATTGTTTTTCCAGATCCGGCGTCTCCCAAGCAGCATTACATGGTTGGTTGTGGTTCCTCTAAAGTCATCGTGTAATTGATCGAGATTTATTTGAAGGTTTTCAGTTCCAATTGCGTTTGATTGACCGAGAGTTTCGTTGCCAGGTTGATTTTTGAAATTGGCCACGGTGAGCTTTGGATGAAATTCTTCTTCTAATACTTTCAGATCTTTGAACACGGATCGAACGTCATACTCAATTTCTTTTCGAGTGTTATCGTTGACAATTTCGACAAATTCTGTTACTGTGAACAATTAAATATTCAGTAAAAAAGTATTTAATATTCGATTACTAGGTTTAGCTTGTCACATATCACAAGGTTAATATATATACTGAGAGATTTTTTGTTTTTATTTGTTTCAATTTATTATGATAGATTATAGCTGAAAGTTTTCTCCATGTTTTTCCACACTTTATACATTGGTATAAACCAGGGAGGTGCAACCATTATTACAGTAAGACCAGATACAAGTAACTGGATGAATCCTCGGGCCGATCAAATATTTAAGATAGCTATTCCAGTATTTGTATGGTGATTATATCTAAAGCAAAAAAATGCTATTCAAATTTATTGTCGTCACACAAATTTGAAGGAATTCAGTGAAAAACAAGTTTTTATAACATTGTGTATTTTGCAACATGATTTTGCTAGCTAATTTTACTCATATTGCAGTGGCACCAGGTACTGGTATACGTAAATGGATTGAAATTGCTCGCACGTACCAAATTAACTTAACTGATAAATTGGTTTCGCGAGCACACCATTCAAAATTGTCACTTACCCGCGGGCCGCACAATTTTACCCGGATGGCCGCATTAGGCCCGATTGTACTGATCAAAACTTTTGTCGACAATTTATTTCAGTGGCTCTCAAACTTTCTAAGCCGCTCATCGGTTTTAAAATTTGTTAAGTATCCGCGCCCCACCTCAGAAATAACTAACAATAAGCTATAAATAAACGATAGTAAGTAAAGTATGTTTATTTAAAATAAACACGTTGAAAATATATGTACGCAATAAAGAAATGTAAATAACGGACATAAGGCGGGCAAGATCACATCTAACAAATATTTTTATTTTTAATTAGCTTCATGATCCCTTAAAAAATTGTCTACGCTCCCTCGTGGGGCGCGCCCCATTATTTGAGAACCACTGAATTTTAGTCATTTTTAAAATTGAATTCACCTGCTGAAGCCGCAGATGTGTTTTCTAGATTCGAGCTTTCTTGTTCTGTCAGCAAAGGTAGCCGAGGTACGAATCGTTCACCTGCTTTGTATAAAAAATGCATCAATTTAACAAAAGGAGATTAAATCGTTCTGAATTGAAACCGAGACTTTTTAAGTGAGTTTCATTATTTTTTTTTAATAGTAGATCATTTCAATATAACGATCAATATTTTTTGTTGGGAAGATATTATCATAAAATAGGCAGTTATGGAAAATATTGGGGGATCGAGTTTACTTACCAAATTGTTTTGGGACTCAGTTCTGTATTTAAAAAGTATTAGTTTTACCATTACACTTCGTATAAACCAGTGGTTCCCAACCTGGGGGTGGCGGCTGGTTTCTAGGGGGATCGCGAAGGTCTTGCAAAACAGTAGAAAATAAAACAAAGCTTTAGGTTGAATATTGTCAATAGAACGCGAAGAAGTCTGAAGTAGACTCTCGTGTGCTTTCGATAGATTTCCACTAGCTGTCGTGAGACCGCAGAATGTCGCTTCTTGCTTGAAAACCAAGCAAGCGCGCGAGATGTTTATGACACGTTACCCATTTGTAACGCAACACGAACTCGTCAGCATTTCCGCGCGCCACAATGCGGAAAACACGCGGGCTTCGAAGCTATGCTGTGGAACGTCACTATTTCGTTACCAAGTGGTTTACTGCAGGATAGGCTTGTAGTCTATGTTGTTTCAACGTGAAGATTATCATACATCGGCAAAAATATTGTTTGATGATCAGCGGTTGGGACCACTGGTTCAGTTTGTAACTTGGTCAACTACCTATTCGGATGTCAATTTATCAAAAATCTATTAACATGGAAATAATATTGACGATCGTAACACTACGGTGACTATCACTCAATTGCGTTTATTTTTTAACCAGCGCCAATTTCACTTTCCAATTTTCAAATACTAGTGACTTGTGTGCGCATGTTCAACAAAAGTTAGGCGAACCCGGAAGATAATTACGCGACCCACAATTTTGAAACTACTTTATTAGGGTATAGCATGCCACATATCACAAAGTTGGTAGGTATTGAGAATTTTATGTTTTTACTTGATTCAATTTTTTGGTTGGTATAAATTGGTCAATTGGTAGAAAACGTCATTCAGCGCTAATGAAATATTCAATTAAAATAAAAAAGTCATTTTTTTTATCAAAGTTCAATATTGTTTTTGTTTGATATAACAGTTTTTTTACATGCAATATAAGTCGAAGCATTAGAAATGCTTAATGATTCAAAAAAAAAACAGTCCATACAAAAAATATGTGCTAACAAAATTTCTTGTTATAATTCAAATGAATTATACTGATCGAAGCTTTCGTCGATCAATTTTGTCCAGTGATTCTCAAACTGTCTAAGCCTCTCATCGGATTTAGAATTTGTCTAGTCTCGCGCCCATCTTAAAAATAACAAGCTAAAAATAAGCTATAAATAAACGAGAGTAACGCGATAGTATGTTTTGTTTGAAAAACACGTTGAAAATATGTGTACATAATAAAGAAATGTGAACAATAAAGAAATGTAAATATCAAAAATAAAGCGGGCAAGATCACATCTAACAATATTTTTATTTTCAATTAGCTCCACACCCGTTAGAGGCGCCCCACTGTTTGAGAATCACTGTATTTTAGTCATTTTGGAAATTAAATTCACCTGCTACTGTCGCAGATGTGTTTTCCGGAATTGAGCTTCCTTGTTCTGCCTGCAAAGGTAGCCGAGGTACGATTCGTTCACCTGCTTTGTATAAAAATGAGTCAATTCAACAAATGGAGATAAAATCTTTATGAAATAACACCGGGATTTTTTCAAGCGAGTTTATTTATTCATTTTCTAACCGTAGATCAGTTGTAATATATCGGGCAATATTTTTGGAAGGTAGTATCATAAAATAAACAGCAATAACAAATATTATTGGATGGTCCAATTTACTTACAAAATTGATTTGGGAATAAAAACTGTATTTTAAAAAACTAGTTTTATCGTTACACTTGTATAAATCTACTTTACCTTGGTATGATGTCGGATGCGTACGTTTTCATATTTTTCAACTAGATCTCTGATCGTTGCTGCCGTTGCAAGATTATCTAGAATAAAACGTATTCCATTGAGCAATAGTACAAGTTTAATATAAGAAAAAGTAAAGATTTGACGTAGACGAAAGAGCAAACCACCCCATTTAGCAATTATGTAACACTGAAATATCAAGTTTATCATCTGTGCTCATTTTATTGCAAGTGATTTTCATCTGAGCAATTAATTAATCTTTTATCATAATGGCATGGAATTTCATATATGTCTGTCATAAAAATTGAACGAATATAATTGGGAAGCGATGAAGATGGTTAATGTGTTGGCAACTCAGATTACACATTTCTGGTTAAAATTCCAGCCACCCATCTGGATGCAATAAATTGGTTTTGGCAATGCCGACCAGAAAGATTATGGTTCTTCCGTGTAATAATATGAAGTTCTTAAATATAGTGTAATGCTTACACAAAGCCTTGTTCAAAGCGAAAATTGAAAACTTGTCGTATAAAAGAATTCAACCACTCACCAGCATTTTGCTTCCACAGTCGAAGCATTCTAAGCTTTTTATCGAAAATCGATTTGGAATCTTGCTCAATCATAGTAACATCGACGCTATTCAATGATAATCCATTGCTAGATCGTGCGAATTCTCTGAACTCGGATAGGTTGTGAATCGTTTCGATAATTTCGAGAAAGGCGTCTTCAATTCTTTCGTCTAAAAATCCAAGGTTTTTGTCAGATCATTTCTAGCATTGAAAAGTTTCATGACTGCATGTACATTTAATATTTTACATTTTGCTCATTTCATATTTTCCGAGACAGTGTTGTAATTCCATTTGAAAAATAAATTAGATAAATATTCACCTTGAACATCCAAATGTGAATGTTGATTTTCTTTATAGTTATTGAGTATTTCCATAATAAGCGTCGTCGATGCCCGAATTACCTAAATATAGTAAACACATTCATTAGTTCCTAACGTGTTGCTAATGTAACAATCTGGTTATAATCGGAAAATCTCATTCGGCCGACATAAATACTGTAGTGCTGAAACTTAGAATAATTTTAATATTAAACCTAAAAAGTACAGTGCTTCATTATGAGCATTCTGTGACATCATGAAATTGTTCGTAACAAGCTTTTAATTTTAACATTATAGAGCTTCGACATTTGTTTATACATTCATTCTCGAAAATTCAGTTTGGCTTCGAAGAGAAATTTTTTCCATACAACAAAAAGGTTGAACGAAATCGAGGGCGTGGACTCGAAAAACAGTTGATGCGAAAGCATTTCATTATATTTCATTATTTTTACTTTCTAAAATTCTTACCAGCGTTTTCTTTCCACAACCAAAGCATGCTAAGCATTCGATCAAGTGATGAGTATTTTGTATCGTCTTCAATCGAGGTAACATCGGTCAAGCTCAATACCAATCCATTTTTCGATAATGCGAAACGTTTGAACTCATATATGTTCCGAAAACTTCTCGGTAAATCGAGAAAAACATCTTCAAATCTTGCACCTGAAATATATCAATGTGATAATTTGAATTCGTTAATTTTAACGACATTTTTGACCCAAAGATTCTTTCTGGCATGAAATTTTGTCGTTTTTTGTTACGAAAAAAACTTTCTAATATGTTATATCGTATTTATTGGCATCCCGTGGTTTGGCACTAAGGTTTATTGATATTAATAACGTTACTAAATCGATTATTAAAATGATGTTTTCTCGTGTGGTCACATGGTGGTATCCGGTATCCTATCGCGGGCTTCCAAGTATTGAATATTTTGTCTATGCAGAATATATATATATATATATATATATGGTCCAAGGTTGTCAGCCCAGGGGGGTATAAAATAATTTTTTTGTATTGTTCGCGGACCACAATAGTGCCAATAATAGATAAACAGTTCAATACAAAACAAATAGTTTCATTGTGCAAACTAGGGCCCGACCGATACTGCCATTTTAAACCGATGCCGATACCGATAGTTTTCTAAAACTAGGCCGATAAGCCGATAAGCCTATACCGATGTTTTCTCACCTACAAAAATGGCTACAAGTAACAAGCAACACTCTGAGAATCTTGTTTTTCTTGCAAAAGAAATGAAATCTATAATAAAATGTTGAAATCATGCATTGATGAAAAAAAAATTGCATAAAAAGTACATTTACTCCTCTTTTTGCGAATCTAACTTTAGCAATTTTCAACGCTTTATGTTAAAAAAATTAGTAGTGTAAAGCCACAGTGCCGAGGTAAATTGTGTGCGTAGCAATAAAGAACACTTATTGTAAGGGCAGGAAGCTTATGAATCTCAATTGCTTCAGTTCAACAGTCTTAGATGTAGTTGAGCAGGGTTTTTCTGCATTGGCCCCAATCATACTTGCTCTTGTGTTTTGCTTTGAGATGGCTCTACAAATTACTGTTTGTTTGTTTTTTAAACAGCAGAACTTTTTGACTTAATATTGATAAGCATATTTTACAAATTACGCCATCATTATGGCACACGAAGTATTCCCATACTTTGCTCTTACCCCTAGAACCAGCTATCTGTAACATATCAATACAAGAAGTTAAATCGCGCCTTGAACGACGAAAGCGCAAGGGAAAATCAAAGGCCGTGCAAAGTGGAAACGGCGAGAATTCTTTATTAATCAACGCATATTATTTGACACAAATAAGTCGTTCACATGTTTCTCTCGCTTCAATTTGCAAGCCATCACGCTCGCAAACTCGCTTACAAAGAGTTAAATCCCGTGCTTATGTCCGTTTTGGATAAGAGAAACATAGTCAAAAGTATTCTTTATTTATCAACGTAGGACACAAATAAGTGGCTCGCGCGTTTCTCCCGCTTCAATTTACAAGTCACCACGCTCGCAAACTCACTTACAAAGAGTTAAATCCCGTGACATACGTCCGATTTGGATAAGAGAGACATAGTCAAAAGCCGCGTTTTGATAAGAGAGAAATAGAAGTAACGAAGAAAAAGAGTATTAGGCAGAACCGCTCTCAATTAAACAAGCTATAAAACTGCTTTTCTGGAGTAAATTTGACATTTTGGCAGTCACGTGATTGGCCGATATATACCGGTAAAATTAGCAGATACCGATAGTTCGAAATTTGTGAAAAACATGGCCGATATATCGGCCGGCCGAGATATCGGTCGGGCCCAGTGCAAACACACTTATTTGTTTTTGTCATTTATTAAGCTAAAACATGTGATGTACAGGATAGTAATTACTGAATTTTCAGACATATATGCAGCATTTTTTGTAATACTATTTAGGCTGATTGAAAAAAACACCCGGGATGAATCCTATTGTTAGGCCACAACATTAATATTTTGTTATCACGCATAGCGCATCACGCATCTATGATACCAACAAAATGATGATACCAACATTCTATGATAACAACCAACATTATTAGCATATATTGCCGTCCAAAAGATAGAATGCTGAATAACAATTTAGACTGCCAAGCACATCATTCACCTTTGCTAATAGCCTCAGCTAGCTATAACAGTAGTCAATTCAGTGACATTACACCACGATGTGCTGGGGCCACACACCCTGATATATATCATTATAACATATAACAGGTAAGATTGTAATGGGTACTTGAATTTTAACTCTAAATCCGCGTAATGTAATGATTGCAATTTGCAAATGGTTTTTCCTATACCTGATTCAAAATTTTCAATGACATCTTTTCTTGCCTCGAGCCTATTGAAATTGTTAACAACTTCTCTTATTCTTCTCGCGGTTCCGTTTATTCCTGTATTTATTTATAATAAATGGTCATATCGCATGAAGTTCACAAATATAAATACAATGATACTATTACTACATTCTATAATTTATATGGAAATGAGCAAGTGATAATTGCCAGTTTGTACTTGAGATTGAAAAATAAATTAAACTCAAAAACCTTATTGCTGAGTTGCAGAAAAGGATGAGAGAAAATTGTTTTACTTTAGTTTTATTAAGCCAATATGATTATAAAATATTATTAGAGTAAATCTATGAAAATTGGCTTTAGTTTTCATAATTCGGATAGGTTGATTAAATATATATGTTGTAAATGTTATAGAGAGAATAACAAATCTAAATTTTAAAGAAAGATCTTTTAAATCTAAAAATGTTTATCTAACCATTTTTCTCTTTCCATAGGATAGAACAGCATATTTTTGTTCATCCACTGGTTCCAAGCTGTGCTCCGTGATATCACTAACTTCTCGATAACTGAGGACGAGACCATTTTTTGATTGAGCAAATATTTTGAATTGTTGCAGTGAAAACTTGTCTATTGTCTCGTAGAAAGCATTTCAAGTTCGGTGATTGCAGACACTGAAAAAGTATTCATTATTTAATGCAAATTATATTTTTATTTGTAAAATAACACATAATAATTATTAGAATGTATTAATTTATTTGTCTGAAAAATTGCAGTCTGATGCTGGGAAAATTTGAGTTCTAATTTTGATACATTTTATTTATGATCAGTGCAAATTTTAATTGATTTTCTAGTATTATTTAAAACTTCCATAATATTGGTTGCCAATTTAACATCTGTATTCTGTATTGTATTTGAAAATCGTTCATAACTTTCTGTAATATTGATAAATGAGGTAAACTAAAAAATGTTTTTCTATTCAGACCGTCTGTTTTCTCGGTTAGACAGTTTTATTTAAGCAGTATTTTTT